TCTCCCGGCAGAATCTAATTTTTCTAAGAGGCTCTCTTAACAAAATATTTGCCAAGACTGTCACCTAGTGGCAACAGGCAGGAGGGAAGGAGGGAGTTTACAGGCTGGAATCCTGAACAGGTGAATTCAGCTGCTTACTGGGGATGCTGACTCAAGTTCTCTGTCTACTGTGTGCACTCTCAAATTGTTATGCTTAAAAATTAAATATGCTAAACTAAGCATTATTATGTCAAGGCAGCCACCACTCTTTCAGTTGAATTGAGACACATATAGAAAAGGAGTGTGGCAGTTTCAAGCCCTTGGAGAAAGATCCTGAGTTGTGTTTAAATTTTATTGGGAGAGAGAGAGAGAAGGGGAGGGAGGGAGGGAGGAAGAAAGAGATGGAGGGGTAAGGCAGAGAGGGAGGAGAGGGGAGGGGAGAAGAGAGGGGAGGGGAAGGGAGGAGAGGGGAGAAGGGTGGAGAAGGGAGGGGAAGGGAAGGGGAGGGGAGGGGAAAGGAGGGGAGGGGAGGGGAGGGGAGGGGAGGGGAGGGGAAGGGAGGGGAGAGGAGAAGAAGAGTGCATGCTCCCATCCAAACTCTCCAAATGTCTGCAATGACTGGGACTAGGCCATGCTGAAGCCAGAAGCTGGGAACTCAATCCAGGTCTCCCACATGAGTGACAGGAATCAGTTGAGACATTCATCTGTGGCCTCTAAGGATTTACATTAGCAGAAAGCTGGAGTCAGGAGTCTGCTCTAGGCATCAAATCCAGTCACTGATATGGGACACAGGAACTGCTTAACTGCTAGGCCAAATGCCAGCTCCAAGACCCTGAGTTTTATCCTATCCCTCTGTGACATGAGTCAAATAAATTTGAGCCAACAGAACATTGAGTAATGTGAATCAGAACTAGTGAGTGTGTTTCATCATCAGTGAAGACTTGATTCACCCTATTGGATAAAGATCCACCAATTAGTTAAGGTACTGTTAGAAAATAAAGGATATACATAACAGTTATTGAGAGGTAGGGGGTCATTGGTAGCAAGAACAACCTTATGAAAAGTTGAAAAATTTAAAATTCTAGTGACAGAGACAGAAAGAGAAGGAAGAGTTAGCTTTACAGGCAGTATAAAAACCATAACTGAGGGGCCGGAGCTGCGGCTCAGTGGGTTAAAGCCCCAGCCTGCAGCACCGGCATCCCATATGGCCTGGGAAAGCAGTGGAGGATGGCCAACTCCTTGGGCCCCTGTACTCATGTGGGAGACCTGGAAGAAGCTCCTGGCTCCTGGCTTTGGATCAGCTCAGCTCTGGCCATTGCAGTCATTTAGGGAGTAAACCAGCAGAATGGAAGACCTCTTTCTCTCTTTCTGCCTCTCCTTCTCTCTCTGTGTAACTCTGACTTTCAAATAAATAAAAGAATTCTTTAAAAAAAAAAACCATAACTGATATAAACAAAAATATAAACATATAATCTTAATTCTAACTGGTTTAAGTTAGAATTAACTCTGACTTTCAAATAAATAAAAGAATTCTTTAAAAAAAAAAAAACATAATAGGCCAGTGCCGCGGGTCACTAGGCTGATTCTCCGCCTGCAGTGCCGGCACACCGGGTTCTAGTCCCGGTTGGGGCGCTGGATTCTGTCCCGGTTGCTCTTCTTCCATTCCAGCTCTCTGCTATGGCCCGGGAGTGCAGTGGAGGATGGCCCAAGTGCTTGGGCCCTGCACCTGCAAGGGAGACCAGGAGAAACACCTGGCTCCCGGCTACAGATCAGCGTGGTGCGCCAGCCACAGTGCGCCAGCTGCAGCAGCCATTGGAGGGTGAACCAATGGAAAAAGGAAGACTTTTCTCTCTGTCTCTCTCACTGTCCACTCTGCCTGTCAAAAAAAAAAAAAAAGTAACTGATATAAACATATACTCTTAATTCTAACTGGTTTAAGTGATGATATCACCTGAAAAAGTCAGTTTAAGTCTGGAAAACTGCCTATCTGAAGGCAAACTGAAAAACGGACTAAACCCAATTTGTTTGAATCTTTATTTTCCTCCTCTATTTGCCAGGTACCTCATTTGGAATTAATCTTCCCTTTAGTTCAATCAAGGCATCCTTCTCGAAGAAGCTATTATCAGCGACTTTCAATCTTATCCTCATAAAATCCTAAATATAGAATGAGAACTTGACAGGTTTAGTCCACTCAAGTTCAGACACTAGCATTGTTGAGTGCATTGTTTAGAACTCTGTATCGCAAGAAACAGAAAACTCAAACTGAAGCCATTTGGGCACAAATTAAATAGGAAAGTTTTTAGCTTCATGACATATTTGATGCAAGGCACAACCAGCACAATCAGGATTCTTTTCTACATCTTTATTTATCATCCTTGATTTTAATTCCATTTTCTAGCAGACTTGTGCTTCATGAACCCAACATGGCAGCTGGAATTTCTGGGCTACAAAGTTTAAGTCAGAGGGTGTATTAGTCTGCACTTAGAGGGTGTATTAGGGTAACCATGGGGAAACACCACAGACCTAGGTAATAAACATTTACTTTTTGAAAGTTCTAGAAAGATAAAATCAAAGTTCCAGGAGGGTTGGCTTCCAGTAAGATCTTTCTCTTTGCATTGTACACAGCCATGTTCTCACTGTGTTGTGTGCAAATGGGACTAGGGGATCTCTATCTCTGATACGTCTTCCTCTTCTTATAAGAACACTAGTCATTGGTTACAGCACCACACTTATGACCTCAGGTAATCTTAAAGGCCCTATCTCCAAATACAGTCACACTGAGAGGGATGATTTCAACAGATCAATCTGGGGAGGACCCAATTCAGGCCATAATAGAAGGTGTTAACAAACTGTTTTTCCAGTAGTCCCAGAGGAAAAAAATCTAATTTTATCTCATTATGCTTGGATTCAGTCCCATGTATAACTTTAAACCAATTACTATAGAAAGGGTCATGAGATACCCTAGAGGTGAAATGTAGGATCAAGCTTAAAGAATCCATATGGCTGATGATGGAAGGAAGATGAACTACTGAAAGAATAAACAGAATGGTTTTGGAAGGAAAAGGAAAAAGAAATTGGGGGAGTTAATTCATTAATGACCACCATATTGGGATGGCAAATTCTTGCTCTGCCTGAGGACTGCATGTAGTTTACAAAGGAGATTATAGCAATAGGGCTCATTAAAAGTTGAAACTGGTGCTAAACATTGTGGATCCACTAGCAATCAGGGAAATGCAAATCAAAACCACAATGAGGTTTCACCTCACCCCGGTTAGAATGGCTCACATACAGAAATCTACCAACAACAGATGCTGGCGAGGATGTGGGGAAAAGGGACACTAATCCACTGTTGGTGGGAATGCAAACTGGCCAAGCCACTATGGAAGTCAGTCTGGAGATTCCTCAGAAACCTGAATATAACCCTACCATTCGACCCAGCCATCCCACTCCTTGGAATTTCCCCAGAGGAATTTAAATTGGCAAACAAAAAAGCAGTCTGCACCCTAAATGTTTATTGCAGCACAATTCACAATAGCCAAGACCTGGAACCAACCTAAATGCCCATCAACGGTAGACTGGATAAAGAAATTATGGGATATGTACTCTTTAGAATACTATACCGCAGTAAAAAACAATGAAATCCAGTCATTTGCAACAAAATGGAGGAATCTGGAACACATCATGCTGAGTGAAATAAGCCAGTCCCAAAGGGACAAATACCATATGTTCTCCCTGATCGGTGACAACTGACTGAACACCAAAAAGGAAACCTGTTGAAGTGAAATGGACACTATGAGAAACAGTGACTTGATCAGCATAGCCCTGACTGCTAATGAACAACTTAATACATTATCCCTCTTAGTAGTTTTTTTTGGTCTGTTCTACTTAATATGACTGGTTTAATTCTGTAATTAATACACAGTTATTCTTAAGTGTTGAAATTTAACTGAAATGTGATCCCTGTTAAATGTAAGAGTGGGAATAAGAGAGGGAAGAGATATATAATTTGGGACATGCTCAAGCTGACTTGCCCCAAATGGTAGAGTTAGAAACATACCAGGGGATTCCAATTCAATCCCATCAAGGTGGCATGTACCAATGCCATCTCACTAGTCCAAGTGATCAATTTCAGTTCACAATTGATCATAATGAAAGGACTAAGAGTCAAAGGGATCACATAAACGAGTCTAGTGCCTGCTAATACTAACCGATAGAATAAATAAAGGGGAGAGTGATCCAACATGGGAAGCGAGATACACAGCAGACTCATAGAATGGCAGATGTCCTGAACAGCACTCTGGCCTCAGAATCAGCCCTAAAGGCATTCGGATCCAGCTGAAAAGCCCATGAGAGTATTCAGCATGGAAAGCCAAGACACTCTGCCATATTAGACGAAACAAGGGACACTAAATGAAAGATCTCTGTGAGTGAGATCCCAGTGGAAAGAACAGGTCTTCAAAGAAGGAGGTACCTTTCTCTGAAGGGAGGAGAGAACTTCCACTTTGACTATGACCTTGTCTAAATAAGATAAGAGTCGGTGAACTCAAAAGGCTTCCATAGCATTGGAAACTCATGACTGGAGCATAGGGAGATTACTGATGCCATAAACAGGAGTGTCAATTTGTAAAGTCAACAACAGGAGTCACTGTGCACTTACTCCTCATGTAGGATCTCTGTCCTTAATGTGCTGTACGTTGAATTTAATGCTACAACGAGTACTCAAACAGTATTTTTCACTTTGTGTTTCTAGTAGGTGCAAACTGTTGAAGCCTTTACTTAATGTATACTAAACTGATCTTCTGTATATAGAGAAAATTGAAAAATGAATCTTGATATGAATGGGAGAGAGAGCGGTTAAGGGGAGGGTTGTGGGTGGAAGGGAAGTCATCGGTGGGGGGGGAGCCAATGTAGTCCATAAGCTGTACTTTGGAAATCTATATTCATTAAATAAAAGTTAAAAAAAAAAAAAAACATTGTGGATCCAAGAGAGATTGCAGATTGGGTTTCATTTTAATTATTACTATTAAACAGTATCAGCATGGTACAATTATTAATTTGATATCTAATGATCACAGTGGGAGTTATAACAATTCAATTTCCTAGTCTCTTCCCAGATGGCACTTCTGTTTCTCTTGGTGGATCTTGATTCTTCTTCTGTTCCATGGATTAGCATGAGAAGCAGAGGTCTGCACACAGCCCACATTTGCTTCTCTGTAAGTCTCTTTCCTTGATCTCTGCCATCCTCTAGGTTTCAGTGACCACAGCTTTGAGTGTAATTTCCAGAACTTCATCTCCCGACCTATCTCTGGAATCATGGAACTTTATAAATTCATCCAGGTCTCACTTGCAGATTCTATTCAAGAATCCTGAACTTGTTTTTGCTTACCCCCAACAAAGAGCAGCCTATAGCTCTAGTTAATAATGTAAAGGAATGAGAAAGTCTAAGCCATCCTCTAAGAAGTTCTGGTTGATAAATGCCTCTTCCACTAAACTGTAAACTCATTGAGTACAGAGATTTATCTGTGGTACCAGAAACAACTGTTCCAAAGTTTATGTAAAAATGTAAGAGGTTTTCAAAAAGTTCATGGCATGTGTATTATGAAAAAACTATTCACGAATTTAAAAAAAAAGTACCAAAATAAACCTATCTTTTAAATATATGTTTACAGAAACTATTTGAAGTATCCCTAAATATAGATTTCAAAGTACCATTTCTGGTAATTAGATAAACTAGAACAGATTGAAGAAAGAGGGATGACACCAGTCTATCCCAGGTCTGAATGAGGGGCAGGATTTTGTTACTGTTTCCAAGTATCCAAACCCCAATCTTATGCTGGATGAGTCACTACTGTGTGAGGAGGAGAAGTTGCATTTTCCATTATGTAAACTGAAAACAACAGATACCAGGGTTTTTTCTGGCCTTTGGCATTTAGGGTATGGAGATCTGCACCTAGAACTGTGAATCAGAAGTCTGTTACTCTAAGCAGCAGAGACTACGTAGAATTCATTCTCTTGTGACATCTAGCGTTCAGCAGCAGTATCAGCAACACTGTATCCAGGCCATTCCTAAAGGATGACCATAACTACATCAAGCAAATAAAAAGATGAATAACCGGGCCAGCACTGTGGCAAAGTGGGTAAAAGCCGCTGCCTGCAGTGCTGGCATCCCATATGGGCGCCATTTTGAGAACCGGCTGCTGCACTTCCGATCCAGCTCTGCTATGGCCTGGGAAAGCAGTAGAATATGGCCCAAGTCCTTGGGCCCCTCCACCCACGTGGGAGACCAGGAAGAAGCTCCAGGCTTCGGACAGGCCCAGCTCCGGCCACTGCAACCATTTGGGGAATGAAACAGCAGATGGAAGATGTTTCTCTCTCTGCCTCTGCCTCTCTGTAACCCTGTCTTCCAAATAAATAAATAAATATTTTAAAAAGTAACATAAATAACAAAAAATCTAAAGATCTAGATACTAGAATTGAGGAGATATCATAACCAGAATAGGTTCAAAGAAGGTCCTGCCTGCAATACGATCAAGCAGTATTTATGGATAGAAAACAGGGAGGTAAAGATAGCTTAATGCTTGCAGCTCAGTGTCCTGCCTTATTTGAGTCAGCTGGCTGCTTACTGACTGAGGCTCTGCTGCTGTAACTGACTGAAACTAGGTTATTTGCTAGGCATTCGGTATGAATGATTCCATCTTGGTTTGACTTGTTGATCCCAATATAGAACATTAGTCTAAAGCAAAGAAGTCCTACAAATTTTATTTAACAATTATGATATGGGTAGATTCTGTAACTATCCCCTAAGGCTATCTCCTTCCTTTGAAGGCTCTCCTTAGAGTGTCACCTTCACCATGACATTTTAAATGAATATCCAGACAAAATAGGCCACTCCTTTGTTACAACTCCTTTAGTGTAGGGTGCATACCACTTGTGTGGCATTTATATACAGTTCTGCAGTTATTTATATTTATGCTTTTTTTTTCTTTGACAGGCAGAGTGGACAGTGAGAGAGAGAGACAGAGAAAAGAGAAAGGTCTTCCTTTGCCGTTGGTTCACCCTCCAATGGCCGCCACAGCTGGCGCGCTGCGGCCGGTGCACTGCGCTGATCCGAAGGCAGGAGCCAGGTGCTTCTCCTGGTCTCCCATGGGGTGCAGGGCCCAAGCACTTGGGCCATCCTCCACTGCCTTCCCGGGCCACAGCAGAGAGCTGGCCTGGAAGAGGGGCAACTGGGACAGAATCTGGCGCCCCAACCAGGACTAGAACCCCGTGTGCCGGCGCCGCTAGGTGGAGGATTAGCCTAGTGAGCCGCGGCACCGGCCTATATTTATGCTCTTAAAAGCCTCCACTGTATTGCAAGCACCTTCACAGTAGAGTTCACCAAATCTCTGAATTCTTGCCACTATGCCTTCCACATTGTGGTCACTCAATAGTTTAAAATACATATTTTAAACTTAGAGTCATGTAGGAAAGCATGAATGATAATACAGGACTCACCTTCCCTCATAATAAAGGAGGAAAAAGTTCAAATAGGTGCTGACATTGTAGCACAGTGGGTTGAGCTGCTGCCTGTGATGCCGGCATTCCACATGAGCGCTGGTTCAAGTACTGGCTCCTCTGCTTCCAATCCAGCTCCCTGCTAATACAATTTGGAAAACAGTGGATGATGGCCCACATACTTAGGCCCCTGCCACCCACGTAAAAGAGCCTTTATATTTATAGGATCCTGGTGTTGGCCCAGCCTCAGCTGTTGCAGTCTTATGTAGAGTGAACCAGTGGATGGAAGATCTCATTCTCTGTCTCTCCCTCTCTCTCTGCCTTTCAAATAAATAAAATAAATCTTTTTTAAAAAAGCAGAATTTTTAGGTTATCTAATATCTAATATTAAGACAAAATTACAAAGCTAGTTTTATAGATACCAACTGGCTTTCATTGTGAGTCTAGTATTTGGCAGCAGTCCAGACCAAAAAGGGTTCAGAATGCACCATCCACCACATGTGTACTCTACATTTATATCCAGAGAAAAGGAAGTGACATACAGAAAATGGAAATGAGATGCAGAGATGGCTGGACTGTCATAGCATGGCATTCCCCTTATTTGAACATTATTTGAACAGTTGGCCCTTGTAATTAACTGTGATTGGCTGAGACTTAAGTTGTCTATTACAAAGACAGATTCCTTAGTTAGCTTTTCATTGTGCTTGCATACTAAGTTAAGTTGTTGTTACATAAAGGCACAAACACACACAGATTTAGTTTGATTTAACTAATTTTGGCCTGTCTTGATTGACCTAGGCTAAAACAGACTTTCTGACTCCTAGGTTGAGCGATCTTTGTTAAATGATGGGCTAATGAAAAATTTCATTTAAGAACACTGGGGTGATAAATGGGCATCTGGATCATTCTGCCCCACATGCTTTTGCCTGAAGGCATCATGGTTGCCTAACTTAAAACCCAGAATAACCCTTTGCTGTCTGCTCCAGTTCAATCAGAAATAGTTGTCTGCAAAGGGAACAGAGAAGAGAAAAACTAGGGTGAGGTACCTCCACATGTACAGAAAGGCTCAAGGAGAGCCACTAACTCTGTGGAATGTCAAAAGAAGCAAAGACTGAAGATTGACTACTGAATTTTCCAAAATAGAAATCACTTGTAACTTTGACAACAGCCTTTTTACTGCATTGGTCGGGACCAAAGCCTGGTTGATGTGGATAAAGAATAAAACATAAGAAAATGGAGATAGTGAATGTAAACTTTCGACTTTTCCAGGAATTTTGTTGCAAAGAGAAGCACACAAATGGGGTGTTAACTGATCGGGATCAAGGACCTTGTTACTTTTTGTAACGGATATCATTCCAGCGTGTTAATTTGCTGCCATAGAGAAGAAAAAACTGATGATAAAAAAGAGGCGCTAGAGCCAAACCCTTAAGTGGGAGAGAAACTGTGGATTCAACAGCACAACACGCCCATTTATGGTTACCAGGGCTCAGTGGCGCTAACTGCAGACTATCGCTCGTTCTGCTTAAATTTAATAGAACGCGAGTTTACAAAAGATTATTTAAACACACGTGCACGCGAGAGCTTGGACTTTAGATTCAAACTGCCTTAGTTCCGAGAGTTCCACCACTTCTCGCACCTCCCTGTCAAAGCACTACTCTTCCCGGGGCTTTGTACCACAGAGAGGCACTAACATTGCCTCCTAAGGCGGCCGGCGGGTTTGCGTGAGGTAATCCGTGTGGCACTCGGCAGCATCTGTCACCCTGCGCTACGACGGGAGCGTAGCTCCGTCGCAGGATGCTTCCGGGCACTGTCACTCGGACTCGGATTCTGGGACTTGCGAGCCACTCGGCAGGGAAGAGCCCTTCGGGAACACCGCGGCCAATCCCCGCGCGGCTAAGGCGTACGAGGCCGGTACAGTTGTGCCAACGGGGATTCCCTGTCGCCACTTGCGTCCTCCAGAAGGCACTGTTGCACAACCGAAACAAAACTCCAAGGCACAGCAACTAAAAGCAGACACCTAGAAGCGACCGCAACTCAGCAAAGCTACCGACTCCATAGTCTGGTCTGCGCCTGCGCCACACCCGCGGCGCTCCACTTGCGCCTGCGCAGTCACTCTGTTGGGCGTGTCTCCGTCTTTTCGCACGGCTTGGGCGGAACGTCTCGTGAGAAGTGGGAGTTCTCGCGGGAACTTCATTCAAAAAGCCCTGGCGCTTACCCGAGCGCTAGTAGAGTGAATGGCCGGCGTCTTTCTTGCAAAGGTAGGGTTGGAATCAAGAATCGGGAGGCCTAAGCTCGCCTCCCGAGCCGCGTGCGGCCGCAGCCAGGGGAAAAGAGTGAGGAGAGAGGTAAGGGCAGGGCCCTGGTGGGAGGTGGGCGCAGAGAGGTGCGGTGGGCAGGCAGTGAGCAGGCCCTCGGGAAACCGGGGTCTGGGTGTCCGTCTTGCCTGCAATCTGCGTTCTCAGAAACCGCACTCCGAGCCTGGCTCAGCCTGCCGTCGGACTGCCTCGTCGCCCTCGGGGCTTCTGGATAAATACGGAGAGCTAGGTCGTTGGGGGGGGGGGGGGGCCGCAGAGTAACAGCCCGCGGATTTGCCCGGTCCGCAACCCTAGCCACTGGCCGCTGTGAAAGCCCCAGCTGAGAACTGCTAAACGCACACCGGATCTCAAGGATAGGACCCAGAGAGCATTCGTTACTCTTCAGACTATTAATCTTTATGACGAGTACGTGTTGAAATAGTACTTTGTACTGAGCTAAGTAAAAATGTAAAGTTTCACCTCTTTATTTTCCTTTTAATGCCATTCCTAGAAAATTTAAAACCACAAATGTGGTTCACATTATGTGCCTGTTGGACAGATTCTGCCTTCATTGTTTTCCATCCATTACCTGATTTAATCTCCTCAACAACCCTTTTCCTAGGTGTTATTGTCCTTGTTCTGTTGATGATACAATAAGACATTAAATAATCTTCCCCGGGTTAATGCAGCATGTGAGTGGTGGAGATGGAGTAAGAACTCAGGCTGGTTGGTTCCCACCCAGAGCTTCTGGTCCACTAAATGCTTTGTGTTTGCTGTTTTGAGAGGCAAGGCAGAAGCGTGGTCCGAGCACCTGGCTTTGGAGCTGGACTCTACTTCGCATCTCACTTATCACTTAGTAGCTGATGCCCATGGGCAGACAGTGGTTCAGGCAAGGGTGGTAGCATAAGAGGCGGTAAGAAACAGCCAGATTCTGCATATATTTTAAGGGTAATGCCAGTATGACTTTCTGATACAGGGCGTGTAGCATTGCGAAAAGGAGTCAAACACGCCAAGGCTCTGGGCCTGAGCGACCTATAGAACGGCGCCGGCGGGCGCCGCGGCTCACTAGGCTAATCCTCCACCTAGTGGCGCCGGCACCCCGGGTTCTAGTCCTGGTCGGGGCGCCAGATTCTGTCCCGGTTGCCCCTCTTCCAGGCCAGCCCTCTGCTGTGGCCAGGGAGTGCAGTGGAGGATGGCCCAGGTGCTTGGGCCCTGCACCCCATGGGAGACCAGGAAAAGCACCTGGCTCCTGGCTCCTGCCATCGGATCAGCGCGGTGCGCCTGCCGGAGCGCGCCGGCCATTGGAGGGTGAACCAACTGGCAAAAGGAAGACCTTTCTCTCTGTCTCTCTCTCTCACTGTCCACTCTGCCTGTCCAAAAAAAAAAAAAAATTTTAAATTAAATAGAAATTTAAAACGGAGCTGCCTTCAGCTGACACACTGATGTAAACAAAGTTTTGGAAAGAAAAACTGGAATTCACAGTTTGAACATGAAAAATGTCAGGTAGTGTCTCCACATAATGGGAATTCCAGCAGATCTTTTGAATGAATCATAACGTTTTTGACTTCTTTGTATATTCCTAACTGGGATGTCTTAAAGTTAATTCTGTTTTTTTCTTTAGTAGATGCAGATGACAATATTTACTTGGGCTTATCAAGAGAATTAAATGAAATAATGTCTTTGAGGCTGTAGATATGACAAATGGTAAATCCTTAAGAAATTTAAGTTATTACCAATGCAGCAATTAACTGGCTCCATCATGTATGAGCTTTGTAAAGTTTTTTGATTTTAGCACAGTAACTACCAGCCCCTGATAACCTAGGACACCTTTTATTCTTCTCTTGAAACCTGTGTTTTCTCTTTCTTTATTCTCTATTAAGGATCCTACTTCCCAGTTTACTGATAAATTGAAGCAGTTAGAAGGGCATTTTCACAGATTCCCCCCACTACCTGTCTACCTGCTTCTCAGCATCAGTTCTCATACTTTTCTTTCCCTTTTTTTTTTTAAACTTATTTATTTATCTTATAGGATAAGAATGAGAGAGAGAGATCTGTCAGCTGGTTTACTCCCCAAATGGTGGCAAGAGCTAGGACTGGGCCAGGCTGAAGCCAGGAGCCTGGGATCCATCTAGCTATTAGACAAGGGTGGCGGGGGCCCAAGTGCTTAGGCCACTATCTGCTGCCTTCCCAGGTACATTATCAGAGAGATAGATGGGGAGCAGAATAGTGGGGACTGAATCCAGCACTCCAGTGGGATGCCAGGGTCACAGGTGAGGGATTCACTGACAGAGCAGATGTAATGTTCATGCTTCTGTTGAAAAAGTCTCTGCAGGTTAGACTGTATCTTCTTTATTCAGGGACATCATTGTAGCAGATCTCTGGTGTCTTCTCTCCTGGATTTAGCCCATGGCATACAAATGTACTGTTGTTATTTTTTTCCATTTTAATAAACAACAAATCATTGCCACTATTTCCAGTTCTACTTACTACTGTGTTTATCTGCTGTCTGTGCAGCACACCTGTGCTTGTCATGTGTTTGTTTCCCGCTTTTTCTCTCTCAAATCCATTCTAGTCAAGCTTCCCCCCACCATCTCTGCATCAGAACTGCTCCCATAAATCAAAGCTAGTGGCCAATTCTTTCTTAGTTGATGTAGCCCCAGCATTTGGCATGATTGTACAGTTTGCTTACTGGCTTCCAGAACAAACCATGCTCTTGTTTTCTCTCCGCCTCACTGGTCACTCCTGAGTATACTTTCCTGGCTTCTTCCCCACTGTATAACAGGTTTCAGTGCTGGGCCCCTTTCTCTTTAATTATGCTCATGCTCTATTGATAGTCTCAGGACTTAACGCTGATGGTTTCCAAATTTCTGTCTGCAGTCCAGACCTCTCTCCCACTCATATATCCAACTTGATATTTTTCATGTTCAAACTGTGAATTCCTGTTTTTCTTTCCAAAACTTTGTTTACATCAGTGTGTCAGCTGAAGGCAGCTCCATTCTATAGGTCGCTCAGGCCCAGAGCCTTGGTGTGTTTGACTCCTTTTTGCAATGCTACATACCCTGTATCAGAAAGTCATACTGGCATTACCCTTAAAATATATGCAGAATATGGCTGTTTCTTACCGCCTCTTATGCTACCACCCTTGTCTGAACCACTGTCTGCCATGGTCTCTCTGCTTCCAACTGTGTTCCCCTCCTCACTGGTCAAAACAACAGCAAAAGTGATCCTTTTAAGTTGTATCAGATCTTCTGCTCCAGATTTTAGAATGGCTTCCCACTTTATCTGGAGTAGAAGCCATATTTCTTAACACTGGCATTATTGGCACAGAGACACCCCCCGCCCTCCGCCCTGCCTTCTCTCTACTATGTCTAACCTGATTTCTGTGTTGTTTACTCCTTGTATTTGTTTTCTACCTTAGGGCTTCCCCTCTGTCTAGAACTTGCTAAATAGCGGCATGGCTGATTCTCTCTTTCTTGGACTCCTGTTTGTGCCACTCATCTCTTATTCCAAGCTCCCTTTTTTCTCTTCTACTTTTGTTTCTATTTCCACTTTCTGTTGTATTTAGTTATACTGTAATAGTCATCTCACAGTATCTTTGGGAGATTGGTTCCAGAACTTGGGCCATCTTCTACTGCTTTCCCAGACCATAGCAGAGAGCTGGATCAGAAGTGGAGCAACTGAGACTGGAACTGGTGCCCATATAGGATGACGGCACTGCAGGCAGCAGTTTCACCTGCTACACCACAGCTCTGCCCCCCCACCTTTTTTTTTTTAAGATCTATTTGAAGGGCCAGTGCAGTAGTATAGCAGGTAAAGCCATCACCTGCCGTGCTGATATCCCGTATGGCACCTGTTTGAGACCTGGCTCCTCCACTTCTGATCCTGCTCTCTGCTATGGCCTGGGAAGGCAGTAGAAGATGTCCCAAGTCTTTGTGCCCCTGCACCTGCATGGGTGACCAGGAAGAAACTCCCGGCTTTGGATCAGCCCAGCTCTGACAGTTGCGACCATTTGGGGAGTGAACCAGTGGATAGAAGATCTCTCTACCTCTGCCTCTCTGTAAATCTGTCTTCCAAAAAAAAAATACATCTTTTAAAAAAAATTTATTTATTTGAAAGACAGAGTTACAGAGAGAGAGAGAGAGCACACTTCCATCCGCCATCTGCTAGTTCACTCCTCAAATGGCTGCAACGGGAGCTGAGTTGATCTGAAGCCAGGAGCTAGAAGTTTTTTCTGGGTCTCCCACATAGGTGCAGGGGCCCAAGCACTTGGACTTGCCCAGGTACATTCGCAGGGAGCTGGATCAGAAATGGAGCAGCTGGGACTCAAACAGGCGTTCGTATGGGGTGCCAGCACTGCATGGGGCAGCTGTACCCACTACAACACAGAGCTGGCTCCTTTCTAGATATTTTTAATCTGCAGTTAATTGGATCTGAGGATACAGAAACCTGTAGAGAGGGTGGACTATGTCCACTGTTTTCCTGGAATGTGAGTTTCATGAAGGGGGAGGGAGGTTTGGTGTGGTGTGGTTTGGTCTGTCCTGGTTTGGTCTGGTCCATTGTGTCTGATGAATCTGCTGTGACCAGCATGGAGCCTAGCACATAGACATTCAAGAAATGCTTGCGTGCCTGGCAGCCTGACCACATCGACTTAAGCCGTGGGGAAACACCTTAGCAAGGATGCTGGTCTTTCTAGGTAGAACTGTTTATGAGTTTGGCTTCAGAGGCTGGGGCCAACTAGGGAAGGATGATGACTGAGGCTGAGATAGAGTGGAATGTTTTGTATATATTATGTTTGTAAAGTCCTTGATTGAACATCTAGGATAAAAGCCGTGTCCTCTAATTGCTCTGTACGTGGCTTCTATTCTGCATGATCATGTATAACTAGGATACTAGTGAGTGTGTTTGCAGGAAAGCAAATTGAATGAGTTCAGGAAGTTAACATTGTTGTGAAAGATCAGACATGATATTCCCTGGGTTAATTGTGAACCTTTTTTAAGGCGACCTTTTTGTATTTTAAATAGCAGTCAAGCTACTGACAAGATTTCTTTCATTGTTTTCTTGACTTTGATGACATGGGTACTGATAGCATTTTGAGACCAATTCTACCTTGACATTTAAGAAACCCTAGCACACAACTGAAAGTTTCCCGACAGTGAATTTCTTAGAGGCAAAATTAAATCTATTGTTTTCTGTTTTGTTTGATCTCAAATCAACTAACAAAATTATAAGAATAGTTCCTGCTCTTAGAACAAGAATGCAAATTTGACCACTTAACAATTCAGAAAGAAAATCTCAAAACTATGTTTTGACATGGTTGTATGGGGTTTTCTTGTTTAAGCTTAAGTAGTTTTATTTTCTCTATTTACAGTAGGCTAAAAACAGGAAAAGAACATGGAGGCAGATGTAATTGCCGATCTTCGAAGCAAACTCAAAGAGGTTGAAAGTGAACGACTGAAAGCCGCACAGTATGGTTTACAACTACTGGAGAGCCAAAGTGAACTGCAGAATCAGTTGGAGAAATGTCGAAATGAAATGATGACCATGACTGAGGTAGGACTCTGCTGTTATGTTTGCCAGGATATGCTTTGCTGTTGAACATTTGTCCAGCAGTTATTATTTATTTTCTGAAAACTTTAGATCTTGTTCTCACTCCTGTCCCTGTTAACAGAGAGTGAAATAAATGAGCACCTGATATTGGTTCCAACCAATGCATTCGGAGGTTGAAAATCAAGTTACAGGGGCCAGCGCTATGGTTTAGTAGGTGAAGCTGCCGCCTGCAGTGCCAGCATCCCATATGAGTGCCAGTTGGAGTCCCGGCTGCTCCACTTCTGATCCAGCTCTGTGCTGTGGCCTGGGAAAGCAGTGGAAGATGACCCAAGTCCTCGGGCCCCTGCGCCCACGTGGCTACTGGCTGCAGATCGGCACAGCTTTGACCCTTGCAGCCATTTGGGGAGTGAACCAGCGGATGGAAGATTTCTCTCTCTCTGCCTCTGCCTCTCTATAACTCTGCCTTTCAAATAAATAAATAAATCTTAAAAAAAAAAAAAAAAAGAAAGCAAATCAAGTTATGGTCTCTCTACTTACCATATTTTACTCTACTTACCACAAGACTTTGTTTTGTCTGCACTCTTCATTAGTGACCTCACTTGTTTCAGAGCTCTAAATATCATCGGAATTCCCTCAAGATGATGATATATTAAGCCCTTATTTCTCCCCTGAAGTGTAGGTTCATGTATTCAACTGTCAGCAAATGGACATCTTAAAATTAACATATACAGATGGAATGCTTGATTTCACCTACTAATGAACGTTCACTAAAACTTTTCTTATTTAGGGAATGTAATAACGATTCTTCCAGTTGCTTGAACCAGAAATTTAGGAGCGTTGCTTAGTATTTTTCTTTCCCGTGCTTCTCATTTTAATCCATCAACAAATTCTGAGAACTTGACCTATGAAACATCTATTTGTGCTACTCTAGTTCAGCCTGCTATCTTCTCTTCTTGGGCTATTATAACCGGCTTTTTTTTTTTTTTTAAGATTTATTTATTTATTTGAAAGAGTTACACAAAGAATGAGAGGGGGAGAGAGAGAGAGGTCTTCCATCCGCCTGTTCACTCCCCAATTATTTATTTTCCAGCCATTCAGTTAAATGGCTAGTTTTGATCAGCAGGAGATGAAGGACACTACTATGACAGTTGATATTTGAGCCAAAGCAAGGACCTTTATAGGCAGGCTTTGAAACTTGTCATTGTGAAGTTTGATGTGGATTTTGGAATCCAGAGATTATTCCTGGGGCTGGCTGCTTGGACCTCCTTTACTGCTTCCTGGGGGCTGGCTGGTTGGGCCCCAGAAACCACAGGTTGGGAAGTGATAGCACCAACCTTTCCTGGACTAGTGTCTGTAGTGACTTCAGCTTGAGTGTTTTGAGACAGCTGTAGCCTCAGAGTACACCTTAGGAATTTAAGACTGATGAGCTACAGAGTTATTCCAGCGTTTAGCATGTGATTGTTACTTGGAAAACAGAGAATGTGTGAAACAGGAATGAAACACTTGAAGGTGAGAACTAATTTTGTGTAATGGCTTCCAGTGAATTTTTTGTGATTGTTTTCAGAGTTATGAACAAGAAAAATACACTCTTCAGCGAGAAGTTGAGCTCAAGAGTCGAATGTTAGAAAGTCTGAGTTGTGAATGTGAAGCTATTAAACAGCAACAAAAAATGCAGCTGGAGCAATTAGAAGAACAGCTAAGCAGAAGCCATGGACAGGAAGTGAACGAACTAAAGGATAAGGTTTGGATTCTGTGTATTTCAGAGAATAATATAGTGTGTTCCTGCAGCCATCTATAAACTTTAGCTGAAATTTTTTTTTTAAGTACCAGCTATGTGAAATAGCCAAGAACAAGGTTTCCATTATCTTACTGTTGGGAAGTGATGACCCTGAACAACAGTTTACCTGCGGAGCTTGCATAGTTAATGTACTAACACATGACTATTTAATTTTGGTAGCTAGATTCTAAGGGACACAAGCTATCCTGGTTACCTGTATGGAGTATTCCTGTGGGTATCAAACATAGTCTTTAACTGTGTTAAAAGATGCTTAGTCTTTGCCAAGTAGGAAACCCTGGTAGTCTAATCATAAAATAAGTTTGTGTCAGTCAGTGATATTTTTCAGGGAAAAAAAGGCCTTTTGATTTATAACATTGAAATTTATTTATTTATTTATTTATTTTGCTTTAGTTAGAAAAACTGAAAGCAGAATTAGATGAAGCAAGGCTTAGTGAAAAGCAGCTGAAACACAAAGTAGATCATCAGAAGGAACTCCTGTCCTGTAAGTCAGAGGAGATACGGGTCATGTCTGAGCGTGTGCATGAGAGCATGTCTTCCGAGATGCTGGCTCTTCAGATTGAGCTGACGGAAATGGAAAGTGTGAAGGTAATTTTTAGGGCATGGGTCTTGCTTATGGCACTTTGTTGTTCTCATTTTTCTGCATGTTTTGCAGTAACTGTTAGGAGCTAGTTTGAAGGCTAAAATATTTCCTGACCTTTGACCACACAATACTTTACAGTTTTCAGGTGAATTACTTCATTCATAATACAGCTTTAGGTTCCATGATTACGTAAGGCAGACTTTATGTTTAGGTTGATGAATCCTCTGGAACAATTTAGAGGCACACTCATTCTAGTTTGTGTCATAGAGACCCAATATAGAATATTGGTGCAGTGGCAGTTTACATGGATGTGAATGTAGCGTTTTCTTTCTTTTTTTTTTTTTTTTTTAAGATTTATTTATTTATTTGAAAGTCAGAGTTACGCAGAGAGAGAGAGAAGAGAGGTTTTCCATCTGCTGTATCACTCCCCAATTGGCCGCAATGGCTAGAGCTGTGCCAATCTGAAGCCAAGAGCCAGGAGCTTGTTTCAGGTCTCCCATGCGGGTGCAGGGGCCCAACAACTTGAGCCATCTTCCACTGCTTTCCCAGGCTATAGCAGAGAACTGGATTGGATATGGAGCAGCTGGGACTCAAACCGGCGCCCATATGGGATGTCAGCACTGCAGGCAGTGGCTTTACCCGCTACACTACAGTGCTGGCCTCTGAATGTAGGTTCTGCATTTCAGAGTAAGAGTAGTTAAAAGTTATAACCTTAAATTCATAGTAAAAATAGATTAGATAGGACCCTCCTGTTTGATTCTCTAATGAAAACTTTAGTAATTAAGACAATTTTAAATATGCCCCAACAACCTTTGACCAGTTGTTTAGTTTTAGTTTTGGGTGTGAATGATCACCGATAGATCATTCTGAGCAGCCGTTAAGTGAAAGATGATGTAAGAGTGTTTTTCCTTTTTCAATTCCTGTTGAGTAGACCACCCTCAAAGAAGAAGTGAATGAACTACAATACAGAGAGGAACAACTGGAGCGCCTTACTGCTAATTTAATGCGCCAGGTGGACCGGCTTAAAGAAGAAAAAGAGGAGCGAGAAAAGGAAGCTGTTTCTTACTATAACGCCTTAGAGGTATTTGGATTATGGTAATATCTTTTCCAATTTTTAAGTCGTTTCCTTGCTAACCGAGTCTTAGCGAAATCGTTTTCTTTTAATCTTAGAAAGCTCGTGTAGCCAATCAAGACCTTCAGGTGCAGTTGAACCAGGCGCTTCAGCAAGCCTTGGATCCCAATAGTAAAGGCAACTCTCTGTTTGCAGAGGTACTTCCAAGTATTCTAAAGATTAAATGGACTAAATGGCGTTTTGTTGACTACCAGTGTGAATCAGTGTGCTGATATTTTCTAGGTGGAAGATCGAAGGGCAGCCATGGAACGTCAGTTTATCAGCATGAAAGTCAAGTACCAGTCACTAAAGAAGCAGAATGCCTTTAATAGGGAACAGATGCAAAGAATGAAGGTTGGAAGTCTCATTCTCAGTGATTGATTAAAGCCGTTTTATGTTAGCATTACATCACAGATATGTCAAAGAAACCATCGTTTCCTTCAGAGTGTGTTTAGTCATTCTACAGCTGCATTACTTTTTAAAGAAAAGTATATTTAAAGATCCTTTTATATATTTTAAGAAGAGCAACTTTGGAATAAAGATTTAGTAGTAGAATGTTTAGCAACTACTGATTGTTTTCATCGTTCCTCACCAGCCTTGCCAGGGGGGTATAAATCATTCTTTATGGAGTGGAGATTAAAAAAAAAGAAAAAGTTTTTATTTCTGGCTCTTGGCTTGGTGTCTTTCTGAACACAGTCCTAGGGTTCCTACTTGCACTAAAACTACCTCTCCTCTTCTCTCATGAAGGCTTGTTATAGAATGACATTTGAATTTTGGGGGTCCCTTTTCCTTAACAGCACTCAAGTCATGCATGTGGGCCCTTAGAATTGTCCTGGAGTTAAAATGTAATAAAATATTTTTGTAGTGCTTGGCAAATGAATAAATGCTTACTAACAATAGTTGTAGGTCTTGTTTCTAAGGATTTTCAGACTCTGCTGCCTGGTTGCATGAGACTCCTTTATCTGGGAATGATTTCTCTATAAAATTCCTCACGTTTGCTCTTTGTTTTCTTGCAGTATTTGTTTGGCTCCTACTCTTAATCTTCCAGTGTTCCTTGATGTCCCCTACTAGCTTTAGAAACTAACAGCATTCTGGATTTTCCTGGGTTAAATGCCTAGCCTCTATCCTGAAGCAGGAACAGAAAGGATATTCCTTCAAGTGTTAAAAGCTGCCTTTCTTCTTTGTCAGTGTACCTGTAACCTTGTGTCTTTGTTTGCTTTACTCAAAACTTTCTTTAAGCTAATTAACACTTTTCAGAACTATGGGAACTTCCAAAAGCAGCTTTGGAGTCTAGATATTTCCTCCTGATGCAGGTGGAGTTGTAACTAGATAGTCAAAAAAATTAAAAGATATTGTGGATTGCCTTAGTATCCTTCAATTGCCTTTTTCCTGTATGGTCCGTCTTTTTCATTTGTGATTGAGGAGTTTAATAATTCCTTTCACTTAATTAAAGTTAATGAAATTTTTTTAAAAATCCCATGAGATTCTTAAGAGAATCCGTGTTTATGATGACTAAGAAATGTGCAGCTTCTGCCAGGCTTACTTACCAGTTAAGTGATGTGCTTCCAGGCTACAGCCATGGTGCTCAATTTTATGTTTCACAAAACTACAAAGATATTCATCATTTGTAATAATCAAAGTGGGTTGGACTTACTCCTAAGGGTAAAGCTAAAAACTTGCCCTGGGACTCCAAATCCCATTAAGTTGGCAGGTAATAATGCCATCTTACTAAAGTGATCAGTTTAAGTTCATAACTGATCATAAAGATAGGAATAAGTGTCAAAGGGAGCACATAAATAAGACCAGTGTCTGCAATAGTAATTGATAGAATTAAAAAGAGAGAATGATCCAACATGGGAAGTGGGATACTCAGCAGACTCATAGAATGACAAATGCCCTAAACAGCACTCTGGCCTCAGAATGAGCCCTTAAGGCATTCGGATATGGCTAAAAAGCCCATGAGAGCATTTCAGGCATGGAAAGCCAAGACACTGTGGCAAAAAATGACCTGCATGAAAGATCTCTCTGAGTGAGATCCCGGTGGAAAGGGGCCATCAAAGAAGGAAGTACTTTTCTCTGAAGAGAAGAGAGAACTTCCACTTTGATTATGGCCTTGTCTAAATAAGGTCGGAGTTTGTGGACTCAAGAGGCTTCCATAGCCTTGGCAGCTCATGACAAGAGCCTAAGAGTGCCAATTGTTAAATCAACAACAGGAGTCACTGTGCACTTGATCCCCATGTAGGACCTTTGTCCTTAATGTGCTGTACTAAGAATTAGTAGTAAAACTAGTCTTCAAACAGTACTTTATACTTTGTGTGTCTGTGTGGGTGCAAACTGTTGAAATCTTTACTTAGTGTATAGTTGATCTTCTGTATCTAAAGATAATTAAGAATGGATCTTGATGAAAAATGGGATGGGAGAGGGAGTAGGAGGTGGGATGGTTTGCAGGTGGGAGGGCGGATATAGGAGGAAGAACCACTACAATCCAAAAATTGTACTTATGAAATTTATGTTTATACTCCTTGGGATACCTGCATCCCCATTATCATGTGGGTTGAGTTCTGGCTTTGTTTCTGGTTCTTCCCCGGGAGGCAACAGATGATGACTGAAGTATTTGGATCCCTGCCACCCAGGTAGGAAACTAGTGAGTTCTGGGCACCTATGTTGGGCCTACCCTAGCCTTTGCTGGCCTTTGGGAAGTGAACCAGCAGGTGGAAAAATCTCTTTGTCTCTGCCTTTCAAATAAAATGAAATAAATTTAAAAAATACTCAAAAGTTCCTGTAACAACTTACTGCTATATATATTTTCAAATCATTAGACTAGAAATAGCTAATTATTTTCATTTCCAAAATGAGTTAAAAAATAACAACATATGAATTATACCAGTAGTATGATTATCAGAATATTAATTATTTTTGGGTGGGATTTTGTGTTTCTAGTTACAAATCGCTACACTGCTACAGATGAAAGGATCTCAAACTGAATTTGAGCAGCAAGAACGGTTGTTTGCCATGTTGGAGCAGAAGAATGGTGAAATAAAACATCTTTTAGGTGAAATTAGAAATCTGGAGAAATTTAAGGTATATATTTACATTTTAAAAATACAGCCGAATTTTAATTTGAATATCTCAGTATTTTTAAGTGAAATAGACTTTTTTATTATATTATTAACTTTGGTTTCAGCTTGACCCAATATTTTGAGTATTTTTTGCTCCCAAACACTTTTTGCTTCACGATATTTTTGACTTGCTTCTTTTAGTAGAGGCAAGCCAATCTATTCCATTTTTGTTGCTTTTCTATCATTATTTTGAGTACCCACATATTTAGTATACAATTGAATAATCTTGAACATACATATACCCTCTGGTAATTACCACGCAGATCATGGTGTGATATGCCATACTCATAGTTCTAGCACCACAGAAAATCTCTCATGTTTCTTAAGAGTCTCCTAACTTGATAGTAACATTGCATATATAAATACTGTTGAACTGGGGCAGGCCTTGGACATGGCAGTTAAGATGCCTGCATCTCATATCAGAGTGTCTGAGTTTGAGTCTCTACTCTACTTCCAGTCCAGCTTCCTGCTAATCTTGGGAACCCTCAAATGATGGTTCAAGTACTTGGGTCCCTGCCACCTATGTGGGAGACCAGATAAGAGTTCTGGGCTCTGGGCTTTGGTCTTGCCCACCCAGCCTTCATTGTTGTGGGCCTTTGGGGAGTGAACCAGTAGATGGAAAATCTCTTTCTGTCTATCTGTCCCTTTCTCTCTGTCACTCTACTTTTCAAATAAGTAAATGAAGAAAAAAAAATTACTGTGAACTTCATATAAATCAAATCATTTAATGTATACTCTTGTTTGTGTCTTTCATTCAACCTAATGTCAGTGATTTCTTCTAATTATTTTTATCAGTAGTTGATTTTTTTAAAAAGATTTATTTATTTGAAAGAGTTACAGAGAGAGAGAGAGAGAGAGAGAGGTCGGTCTTCCATTCGCTGGTTCACTCCCCAATTGGCCGCAATGGCTGGAGCTGCACAGATCCAAAGCCAGGAGCCAGGAGCTTCCTCCAGATCTTCCCACGCAGGTGTAGAGACCCAAGCACTTGGGCCATCGTCTGCTTTTCCAGGCCCTAGCAGAGAGCTGGATCGGATGTGGAGCAGCTAGGACTTGAACCAGTGCCCATACGGGATGCTGGCACTGCAGGCAGTGGCTTTACCCACTACGTTACAGTGCTGGCCCCAGTAGTTGATTATTTTTCAGTAGCTTATACCTCCATTTTGTAATGGAGATTTGTAACTGTGTTCAAACATTGTGTAGCTACTGAAACTTATAGTAGACGTTTTTAATAAACTCTAAATGTGTTTTAATTTGAAATCAATTCAGACTTCCACAAAAGTTGTTGGTATTTCTTTACATCTTTTATACAGGTTCCCTAATTTTCAATTTGCTTGATTACTTTGTTTATGTTGTGTTTTCTTAAACATTTCAGAGTAAGTTGCAAACTACACATCCATTTGCTTCTAAGTACTTAAGTGTTAATGAAGACAGTTCTCTTACATAACCCCACTACACTGATCAAAGCCAGGAAAATGAATGTTGATAAAAATTGAATACTATTAACTAAACTGCTTTTTACGTTTTGCCAGTTACACTAATATCCTTTATAGCATATTGAAGAGTGAAGCTGGTTAGTTACCTGGTACATTGTCCTTTATTTGGGATATTTCTGATGTGTTTTGATTCAGCTGTGTAATTTTGATGAGAAACTACAGGAATAACATATTATTCTCAAGTGCATCACACTAGATGATACAGGATGTCTGTGTCTGTGCCATTAATGTAGCTACTAGCCTTAATCATTGGGTTAAATTTATATCTTCCAGATCTGTAAAGTTATAATTTCTCCCTTTACAATTAATATCTTGTGAAGAAATACTTTGAGACTAAGTAAATTCTATTTTCCCTAGTACTTGAATGTGCATTCTTGTCTAAAAAAAGAAATATTGTGATAATAGTTATTCCATCATTCTTTCTGCATTTATTAGTTGAATTCTAAAGATTGGAAAAAAATCTTTTTCTTTCCTTTTCATTTATTTATATCAGTGCAGCTTCTTTGATACCTGTTTTATCCTCTACATTCTCATCTATTACTTTATTTACGCTAATACTCAAATTATCCCAGTAGGAGCACTTACTTCTCTAGCACACGATTCTTTGAGCAATTCCTAGTTATCTGGAGCATTAAGATATTCCTGGAATTAGCATTTTTCCAAGGAGCACTGGTTTTTTTTTCATGGAGAATGGTATTTAGAAACCAAGATCTGGACACTAGACATGCTTATTACTATTGTAGTGTCATTGCTTCTATATTCTATCAGCAGACAGAACTAAGAGTAAATGTGTATATTTTTATGTGTGTGTGTGTATGCCTGTAGTATGTACATAAATATATGTGTGTACACACAAATACTTTATACTATTAATTACAATTTGAATCTAACACTATGGTATTTATTTCTGACAGTAAGAAACGTAACTCTTATTGTCCTCAGTGCATTCGCTTATTTACTCAATCATAGAAAGCACGTAATGTTGGAACTACTAACCTGCTAACTAGAGTTCAGGATTCATTTGCAGTTCTTTGTGCTCTTGCCTGGGGGTACATAGTCAGAATGCTGTGTTCAAAAGTTCCTTGGACTATTTGGACTCTTCTTTTCCCTCCTCCTGGCATAAGGGTGTGTCATTCATAGGAATTACAAGTAGGTTTGTTTGTGTTTCTATTCCATTTTGTTGTCCTCCTATGCATATTGAACTTCTTTACCTACTTAAGTATGCAAAACACTGGTATTGTTTTTAAAGTCAGAGCTGTAAAAGACATGTTCTCAAAGATGTATTCATGTCCCCATGGACTAGCTCATGCTAATCTTAGCATCCTTACCCTGTTTCTACCCCTCATCTTTGTACCCTTGAAAATAGCCAATTTCATCTGTTTTAAGTTTATTCATTTTGTTTCTTTGTGTAAAAATGAGCAGCCCTTGTGTGTATGTATGTTTTATCTCTTTTTTTAACAAAATATAGCATATTATAGTCTTGTACTCTCCCCTCCAATTTTTTTTTTCATTTACAGAATAACCTGGAAATCACTTCATCTCAGTTTATTGTCGCTCCCCCTCTTCATGGAGGAACGACACTAAACCCTACCTAGGCTTCATATCCGAGTCACGGCACCATTATGTCGCTCCCCCTCTTCGTGGAGGAACGACACAGGACCCTGTGCTGTTCTTTGTCTGCTCGGCCCTCCCCGGGTTTGCTGCTGGTTCTTCCCGGGTTGGCTACCATCCCTTCCACCTCCGTGGAAGGGCGGTTCCCCCTGCCACATTCCCCACTTCCGTGGGGGAGCGGCACACCGCCGGCCGGCTCTCTCGGGGGCTGCTCAGGTGTTCCTTCAGATAGATGTTCCCTTAGATGTTCCTGGTGCATGTTGTCTCTCTCCTCCTTTATAGTCCTCTTCCACCAATCCCAACTCGGCTGCCCACACGCCGAGTACGCTGCTCTCCTCCAATCAGGAGCAGGTCCTACAGTTTATTGGTTGAACTGGAGGCAGCTGTGTAGAAACTGTTTCCTCCTCTCCCAGCGCCATATTGTGGGAGAGCAGATGCATAGAATAAGTCTTAATTCCAGTAACTTAGTCTAGTCCGAGTTGCTCCCAGTTGCTCCCCGTTGCTCCCCACAGTTTATACCCAACTTTGATGAAATCTTCTCATTCTTGTTTATAGCCTTAAAGGATTCCGTTGTGTGGGTGTATTTTTTATTCACTGATTTCCTGTGTCTGCATTTGCGTTGTCTTCCATTCCAGACTGTGCTGTAAAGCACATCCTGAGTACATACCTGTTTTCTTACTGTGGTCTCTATATGTTCGGAGTTAATGCTACAGTGGGAGTGCTGAGGCAGAAGTAAATGGGGAGCTAGTACTGTGGCATAGTGGGTAGAGCTGCCATTTGCTGTGCTGGCATCCCATATGAGCACCAGTTCAAGTCCAGGCTGTTCCACTTCCGATCCAGCTCCCTGCTATAGCCTGGGAAAGCAGTAGAAGATGGCCCAGATGTTTGGACCCCTGCACCCATGTGCAGGAGACCAGGAAGAAGCTCCTGGCTCCTAGCTTTGGGTTGGCTCAGCTCAGGTCGTTACGGCCACCTGGGGAGTGAACCAGCTGGTGGAAGACCTCTCTCCTCCCCCTACCTCTCTGTAACTCTGCATTTAAAATAAATAAATAAATATGTCTTTTTAAAAAGAAATGGGTGTGTAATTTTATTACATATTTCCCAACTCCTTCCCATGACTTGTACCAGTGTGCGTTCCCACCTGCAACGAATCACAGTGGCTGTTGCTCCAGTGCCACCTGTGCAATGTGATATCTTTTTAATATCTGCTAGTCTGATGGATGAGAAAAGGTGTTTGAGCATAGTGTTAATCTGCATTCTTCTAAGTGAGATAGAACATGTTTCCATATACGGATTTATTTGCCTGTACATGTGTGTCTATGTATAGAAGAATTTACTCTTATTTTCTACTAGAACTTGCATGGTTTCACTTTTTAAATTTGGAGTTCTGGTCTCCATTGAAATTTACTATGTATGATGTGAGTTATAAATCAAATTGTATCATTTTTTCCAAATAACTAGCCAGTTATCCCAGCACCACTTATTAAAAAGTTCACTTGGTCCCCAGTGCTTTGAGATGTTACCCTTATATATTCAGTTTCTACACATCCTTGAGTCTGTTTCCAGATTTGTTCTAGTCCATTAGTCTACCTGTCTGTGCATCACTGCCACACTGTTCTCATTATAGAGGCTTTGTAGTATATTTTGTCTAGTAGGGCACAGCTTTTCTCTCAGTATCATCCTGGCAATTCTCAAATGTTTGATTTTCCCTGCCTAGCACTATAAAGCTTGCTAATATTTTTATTTGAATCGCATTATATTTATACATTTTTAAATTAATTTAGGGAGCATTGGTCTCCTCTCAATAACCTTTTGATGAACTAAAGTGTCTAAATGACAGATTTTTTAGAATATTGATAACCTTATAGACCTCTAAATCATGACATTTGTATCACAAAAAGTTAAGTGTATGTAACTTTATTTATGTCCCTTATAAGAACTGTTGAAAGGAATGCAGTTTTGGTTAAATTTTCAGAATGTTGGTTGGCAGGCATATGTAGTCCACTAGTGGACTCAGCATTATACTTTGTTGAAAATATAACTTTTTTAAACCAAGGAGTTTTCTGTCTAATTTTTGGAATTGTTTGCAAGTTTTTAAGCAGACTTACTATCTTTTCTCCTAGAGAAATGTATAAAATTTCCATTAGAATCTCAGAAGAGATTTCAGGATCTCTTTATCATATTTTTCAGTTTTATGGCTTGGATGTAAAGCCATGAATTTAGCCCACGAGCATTTATTTCCTCCATTCTAAAAGCCAAGAGAGGGAAACATAGGATATAGGTATGTGAGAGGCACAGACTTTGAAGTCAGGTCTGATTCAGAGTCTCTCTGAAGAGAGGAGTGCTCATTCTCAGAGCTACTGCAGACAGTAAATGAGTTAAATGGTTCCTTCGTGTAGTGCCTGCCAAATGTATATATTTAAAAAGTAGTGGCTGCTGTTATTAATAAATGTATGCTAGTCTAATTTGTTATTTAAGTAATGGTGATTTTTGTTCTTTTTAGAATTTATATGAAAGTATGGAATCTAAGCCTCCAGTCAACTCTGGTGTTGTGGAAGATGATACCTATTATACAGAGTTACTTCAGCTGAAGCTTGATAACTTAAAGTAAGTAGATGAGTGGATGGAAAGGTGGAGAAAGAACCCTATTCTGCTTGTAATAGCTAGTATTAGTGACTACAAACTTTTGTTTTGAAGTGATCAAAAGAAAATTCCAGAAAAGAAAAGCAATTAAAAAATCTATGCAAAATACATGAGTTTTATGCAAGAGTTAATTACTACTGATCATTGAAGAAAAAATAGTTTAAATAAATTGAATGTTTTTATTTCTTTGAGTTTTTACTTTTCGACCTATAAATGAAGAGAACTTAAATATTGAAAATGTTCTTATAATCCAAATTTTTTAAAAATAAGTATCACATCATTTAAAATTTAAAGGAATTTATTTCTGTCTGAATAGATTTGAAAAAAAGTATTTTGTCCTTTTGTCCATTTCCTTTAAAGAATGGATGAGATTTTTGTTTTTAGAGGGAAGTATTATTGTTGAGACTTGTCCCAATTGTTTATTATTTCTTTGTGATTAAAAACCCCAGAAAAATGTATTTTTAACTGCATTGAAATAACTACACAATAAAAAATTTATTCTACAATATGTATTTATATTATGCTATTTTAATATTCCTTGGTTTTCATTTTTCATTATTGCAGCAAAGAAAATGAAAGTACCAAAGGTGAATTGTCCATACAGCGAATGAAAGCATTATTTGAGAGCCAGCGGGCTCTGGATATTGAGCGAAAACTTTTTGCAAATGAAAGATGCCTCCAGCTTTCAGAAAGTGAAAATATGAAGCTTAGAGCTAAAGTTGATGAATTAAAACTGAAATATGAACCTGAAGGTATGTAGGCTCATCTATTTTTATCTTTTAAATCATGAGGAAGTCTGAGAAATTGTATCAGTGTTGTTTTTCTTATTAGAGCTTTATGCAAATCCCATTGCAAGCTAATTTGTGGTTATGCATCTGCAGTTAATAAAGCACATTCATTGCTGCAAAATGTATAGGAAAATCCGAAGAGAACTGGATACTTGGTATTGACAAATATGTGTTCTTTTTGGAGATGGAAATTCATACTATCTAGTAGAAATGTAATATGGTAGACTTCCCCACTTAAGATTGAAGCACCTGTGTCATACCAGAGAGTTTCATTTTATTGAAGCAGCTGATGTTTGAGAGCTGCATGGTTAGGACTGTTTGTAGGAAAACCTAAAATAATGAGGACTTAAGTATTTTTTCCTCCCCCTAATGGAGGTCTGGAGGAGACACTCCACAGTGTCAGGGTTCAGGTTCCTTGTGCATTCTTGGTCTGCTGCTTTCCCACTGAGCCAAGTGCACACTGTGTGGCCTCACCTGCCTCAGCAAAGCCTGAGAAATGGCAGTCTTGATTCGCAGGGGCCATATCCCACTAAATGTTGAGAATTCTATTACTAAGGAAGAACTGTAGGACAGATACAAGGTAGCAAATAGCAAATCTAATCTTTTTTCTTTTTTAAATATTTATTTTCATTTCCTTGAAAGAATGTTAGAGAAAGAGAGATTGATCAATCTTCCATTGCTGTTCATTTCCTGAATGCTCGCAATAGCCAGGGCCAGGCCAGGCTGAAGCCAAGAGTCTGGAAATCCATCTTAGTCTCCTGTATGGGTGGCAGGGGCTCAAGCACCTTGAGCCATCTTCCGCTGCCTCCTGGGGTGCATTAACAGGAAATTGGATCAGAAGCATGGAGTAACCAAGACTCAAACCAGCACTAATTGATTGCACCACAACACCTGCCCTATGGCTATTCTTGGTAGACTAGCCCTTCTAAATAGAAGTCTTAACTGTACAACTCTGCATCTTTTTCACTATAAAGAGTGAGTTTACTGTAAATAAATTAAAAAGAAAAAAAAAAGCAAATACAAAAAAGTGTAAGAATGTGATGATTCTAACCTTCACCCTTCAAAAAAAATGTTGTTACGTGTTTGAAGTTAAGGATTCTCAACCAGCTTTCACCCCTGAATTGTTCCTACACCTACCTCTGTCTCATTACTGTATCAGGGGACTGCAGTGATTCTAACAATAGTGGCGAGGTGTTGATCATCTGAAGGTTTTTACATGGTTTTACAAGGCTTCTCTTTCTCTTTTCCTTTTCTCTTCCCTGATTCAGACTGGCTCCTCTGATTAAGAGTGATCCATTTTGAATTTCAAAGTTCAAGAGACAGGAGGAGGGGGAGGGTAGCAAGTCAAGATGTTGTGGGTTTCAAAGGAGCAGTACAAGAAGAAGAGGAGATAATGATCTGAAAGCAACAGTGTGGATTAGGAATACCAACCCCTTCTGCCTCCTTCACTAACATTTTGATTTTGAAAATGAAAGGCACACTAATGCGGAGGTGGGGAAAGGATGTTAGAGCAGTTCATTAAGTGACTGACTGTGACCTGCGTTGAAGACAGTTATGTTAGACCATGAGGACAGAAAGCTTTTGCAGGTGTCTGTGGTGGGGTGATGTGTTTAGAACTGCAGCTATACCCATCACTGAGATAGTGAGATTCTGAATATATTTTATAGATGGAGCTAACAGGCACAAATTACCAATATTCAGAGTGGTTGGCCTGTTCTTTCTGTTGAATCCTTATGACACACAATACTGAGTGAAATGTGTGCTTCTGAACCTCATTTTACAGGTTTAAGAAAATGGAGCTCAAAGAAGGTTCAGTACTTTGGCAAGGTCATGTAGCGGCTAAGTGCTAGTACTAGAATTTGAGGGGCCTACATTGTGTCGTAGCAGTTAAAGCCACTGCCTACAACACCAGCATCCCGTATGTGTGCTGGTTCATGTCCTAGCTGCTCTACTTCCGATCCAGCTCTTTACTAATGGCCCGGGAAAAGCACTGAAAGATGGCCCAAGTGCTTAGGCCCCTATAACGCTTGTGGGAGACCCAGAAGAAGCTCCTGGCTTCAGCCTGGGCCAGCCCTAGCTGTTGCAAACATTTGGGGACTGAATCAGTGGCTAGAAGATCTCTCACTCTTTCTCTCTCTGTCTCTCCCTCTCTCTATAACTCCAACTTTGAAATAAATAAATAAACTTTTTTTTTTTTGACAGGCAGAGTGGACAGAGAGAGAGAAAGGTCTTCCTTTGCCATTGGTTCACCCTCCAATGCCTCCGCGGCCGGCGCGCTGCAGCCAGCGCATCGCGCTGATCCGATGGCAGGAACCAGGTACTTCTCCTGGTCTCCCATGGGGTGCAGGGCCCAAGCACTTGGGCCATCCTCCACTGCACTCCCTGGCCACAGCAGAGAGCTGGCCTGGAAGAGGGGCAACCGCGACAGAATCTGGCACCCCGACCGGGACTAGAACCTGGTGTGCCGGCGCCGCAAGGCAGAGGATTAGCCTAGTGAGCCGTGGCACTGGCCTAAATAAACTTCTTTTAAGAAAATAGAATTTGAATGTGGACTCCTTGATTGCAACGATCCTCAACATCGTATGAGCTGAGATATTCGCTTCCTCTATGGTTTTTATCCAAACACCAGAAGAGACCATTTTAAGTGTTCATTCCTAGAACCAATATATTGAGTTTCCATTGAAAAGTTTATATCCAAATAAACTTTAAAAGATACAGTTAATGGAGTTCATGAAAAAGAACAGATAAGATAAAAACAATATGTTTTAATAAAGATATGAGTGGATTTTAAGAGAACGGATAAAAGGACAAAAATATATGGGACCTGCCTGTGATGTAGCAGGTTAAGCCCGTGGGTGTGATACCAGCATCCTGTATGAGTGCCAGTTTGAGTCCTGTCTGCTCCGCTTCCCATCCTGCTCTGTGCTAAAGCACCTTGGAAAGCAACAAAAGATGACTGCAAAAATAAATCCCTGCCACCCACGTGGGAGACATGGAAGGAGTTCCTCACAACTGGTTTCAAACTGGCCCAGCACTGGCTGTTGCAGTGGACCAGTAAATGGAAGATCTCTTTCTGTCTCTCTCCTTGTCTCTCTGTAACTCTGCCTCTCAAATAAATAAGTCTTTAAAATATATATATACATATATATATTTATAACTAATTCTGCTTTCTTATATTGATTATGCCATTGTATTCAGTCATTGACTGGATTTCTTCCTTTTTTTTAATGGTTTTTAATCTCAGAGAAAATTGAAGTGCCTGTACTCAAGAAGCGACGTGAAGTGCTGCCTGTGGATATAACTGCCACTAAAGATGTCTGTGCCAGCAGTGCTGTTGGGGAAGAATCCTGTGGATTACCACCTCAGAAAGAGGAGACTCAGTGCTGGCCTAGCAATTTAGAAGATAACAACTTGAAGTTAGAAAAGCCAGTTTATACAAACCCGCCAGTAGTCAGTCTTTCTCCTCACAAAAATCTACCCATGGAGATGCAGCCAAAGAAGGAAAAGAAGTGTGTGAAACTCGTAGGAATTCCAGCTGACCCTGAAGCCTCCGATGAAAGAAGTGGGAACAACCCTGGTTCTCCCAGGTCAGTATCCTCTTTCCTTCAAGGCCACCAGCAGACCTGTCCATCCCTCCTCTCCCGCTGCATGAACTACACTGTCTGTTTCTTTATCTGTTTCCTTAGTATTGCGTGTAGTGTTATTACACAGTTTCATCTGCCTGCCTTCAGCTTTTCCAGATTTTTAAGAAAGACTAAAATGATTGCAAGGGCTAAAGACTCCTGAATAAGCGAATTGTTTTAAATAGTTATACTTTTCTGTTTCATAAAACAGAAATAATCAGTCTTACCACATCTCTGGATGTCGTCAATTTGAGTAAATGTACTGTTATTTTTCTCCTGGTTCAAGAGTAGCCATGAAAGGAAAATTGACTTTCCTTCTCATAGGGCTTTCTAGTATAAAAAAGTTCAACCTTCTAGAAAACTTAGGTGCAATTGTTTATGGCTTGTGAAGTTGTTTATCCTGAACCTTCGAGAATGGGTTTTGATGCCTGTTTTGACATTTTTAAATATCAAAGCTAACTAATTTTCATGTTTTCCTAAAACTTCAAAGCCTCCAGTTTCAGCATAATTGAATTTACAACTAAAAGAGGAAGTGGCAGATGTGTGTCTGAAGGAATTTATGTACCTAGGGCCTTGTCCTTTAAAAAAAAATGATAATAATAGAGGTCAGAAGGTAAGAGGAGGTGAGTGGAGGGAAAGGTAGGTAACAGTGGCTGTGGCTGGAGTTCTGGATGTGCGTAGCAGGACAAGAATGGAGTGAAAACAGAAGTGGATGAGGACGATGGAGAAGGTAACAAAAAGATGAAGTGTATCTGCATGCAATGCATTGATAGATACATCTAAAATAAGTATCCGTGGGTGTTTAAAATGTAAGCATGTTGATGGGACAATGGCTAGCGTAGCTTATATGCTATGAAATGAACTGCTAGGTGCTGCTAGGGCTCTGTCTGTCTTTGAAAGAGGGTGTAGACAATGACATTTTACTAACTGATGTGTATTTGAGTTGAAATCCTGAGACATAGCTTCCCCTTATGCAAAGACTTCCTTGTATGCTTTTGTCTGGCTTCTCTTCAAGTCTTCACTTCTACCAAATGTAGTGCTCAACAGTGTAAGTATTTCAGCAACCTTAGCTGCTGTTATAGGAAGAATAGTTTGTTCCTTCATTTCTTGAGCTTGTATGTAATGTCGTAACCTGAAAGTCAGGCCAAATAAAAGCTTGATATCTAAAGGAATAAGTAGCTTCCAGTAGATGATATCTGATGCCTACACATGTTCCGCATGGTTGTGAAATGTGATTTGCTGGTTAAGTGTGCTTGACCACTGTCTGTTTCTGGAGGGGGATTTCCAGAATTGAGCCATGCACACCTTGCTATCTGTGTTGTCTTCATTTCTTTCTTTGCTGTGTTTTCTTTTTGGCTTGGTAAAAATTACTTGTGCAAATATATGTAGCTAACTGCTCGCCCAAATAGCAAGTTGGAAATTTTTTATCTGCTAGTTAAACAAAAACAAATAAAATACCACAAAACATTTGTTTTTGTGTCTATATGTGTGAGTCTATCTGCTGACTTAAGACGTTGCCAACCTCTTGTTTTCTGCATGCTTCACTTAAACATGCAATGCAAAGATAATTGTGTAAATAAATTTGGGTTTTATTAGGTACTTTACTGTTGCATGCTTTATAAATTTAATTGATTTCTTGCTATAAAGAATACTTACATGCCTTTTAAAATATCTCTCCACTATTTGTTTTTTCCTTAATTATTATCCTGCCAGTTGAAACTCAATTTGAGGTGTTTGGTGTGTGCGTGTTTTATTTATTTATTTATTTTAAAATATTTTTGTGGGGCTGGTACTGTGGTTCAGTGGGTTAATGCCCTGGCCTGAAGTGCCAGTGTCCCATGTGGGCACTGGTTCGAGTCCCGGCTTTTCCACTTCCTATCCAGCTCTCTGCTATGGCCTGGGAAGGCAGTGGAGAATGGCCTGAGTCCTTGGGCCCCTACACCCACGTGGGAGACCCGGAGGAAGCTCCTGGCTCCTGGCTTCGGATTGGTGCAGCTCTGTCCATTGTGGCCAATTGGCAAGTGAATCATCGGATGGAAGACTTCTCTCCCTCTCCCTTCCTCCCTTCCTCCCCCCCTCCCTCCCTACCTCCCTCCCTACCTCCCTCTCTCTGCCTCTCCTCGCTCTGTGTAACTCTGACTTTCAAATAAATAAACTTAAAAAAATATATATTATTTTATTTGAGAGGCAGAGTTACAGACAGAGGGAGATACAGAGACAGAGAGTCTTCCATCCACTGGTTCACTCCCCAAATGGTCAAAATGATCAGGGCTGCACCAGTCCAAAGCCAGGAGCCAGGAGCTTCTTCTGGGTCTCCCATGCAGGTGCAGGGGCCCAAGCATTGGGGCCATCCTCCACTGCTTTCCCAGGCTCATTAGCAGGGAGCTGGTTTGGAAGTGGAGCAGCTGGAACTTGAACCAGTGCCCATATAGGACGCCGGTGCTGCAGGCTTGGGCACTAACCCACTGCACCACAGTACCGGCCCCATGTGAGTGTGTGTTTTAATGCGAGAAATAGATATCTATTCATGCAACCCTGGATTCTGTGTTGTTTTGATCTTGTGCTTAGCCTTTTGTCCATCAGAGTAACATTAAAATATTGCTGTAGCATTTTAATTTTTGAGTCAGGAATGCTGGTCACGACAGATGACATTTCGTATTTTAATTCTTTAACTAAGGTTTGCTATGGTTTTATTTTAACCAGTCTTCCAGATGTTCTTTAGACATTTACAAAATTAAGTTTAAAAAAGTTCAGTTACAGAATCAATGACTTAATATTCTTAATGGTATTGGAGTCAACTATTAATGTTTTGTTACTCTGTATACAAAAAAAAAAAAAAAATCAGTATGCCTCATAGGAGACCCATTACACTAAGGGTTTATTTATTTAATTTTCCGTAACTACATTTGAATTCAGAGTGGATGCTTTAATGCCTGTAGGTTAGCTGCTGAATCAAGGCTTCAGACAGAAGTTAAAGAAGGGAAAGACACTACAAGCAAATTGGAAAAGGAATCCTGTAAGAAACCACACCCCATTCTTTACGTGTCCTCCAAGTCCACTCCCGAGACCCAGTGCCCTCAGCAATAAAGACGTGTCCTTAATACGAGCAAGGTGCTTGCCCGGAGCTTACTGTGATTAAGATGGGCTTAAATTGCCATTATCTGAAAGGTGCCACTTGCTGGGTTATATCCATCTACCCACTGAGCCAGGGCTCTGCATTTTCATGCTTCCTTGACTGAGTGTTCCAAATTGGGTTGTGATTCTAACCCAAGTGATGGCACCACGTGGAGCTTTTGTGGACCACAGTGAATAAACCATTAACTGAAGGAAGATGTTAGAATTGATATAAATCTGTGTTGCATTTTGTTTGTTTTTTTTTTTTTTTAGTGATATAAACACTTAAGTGACCTACCTTGAGAGCCAAATGTCTCAAATGAGAATACTGAAATCATTATATTTTTCTCTGTACTTTTTTATGAATTTAGTTTTCCACTGCATTGTAAAAATGGGAAGTTAAAAAAATATTGTTAGTGGATTTTGTCAGTGTTTAAAGCACCTATGTTCATCTTTGTATTCATATACATAATTTAAATTTTGTGACATAAGCCTATGAAACAAGTAGTTTTAAAATTTAAAATAAAATTGCAATGTTTTCTTCCCTTGTATTTTCTTAAACTGTGTAGATAACAGTTATCAAAAGGGAGTAAAGGGGTTAGAAAAACTCCTGAAATTCTTAATTCCCTGATTCATAAAATTTTATATACTTATGTATATTATAATTTATATATATATAATTATATGTATATATGTTTCATGAAAATATAGTCTAAACTTTCCAAATAAAGGTTTTTAAAAATTATAATGGTTATAGGCTGGTCTATAACTTAATTTTGTACATATTCTATAGGTGGTGAAATTGGTTCTTCAGAGAAACAGAATCAATAGTTTGTGTGTGTATGTATTAAATACACACTCACTATCAGGGGACAGGGAGAGAAACTTGTTTCAAGAAATGGCTCATGTGATTATGAGGCCAAGTCAAAATCTACAAGGTAGGCTGGCAGATTGAAGACCCCAGGGAAGAGACAAGCCAGCAGTTCAAATGCAAAGGCCATCTGCTTTAAATTCCCCTTTTGCTTGGGGAAGGTCAACTGCCCTCTATCCAGGACTTCAGCTGATTAGATGAGGTCCATCCACATTAGGCAGTGCAATCTGCTTTACTCAAAGTCCACTGATTAAAATGCTAACATTATGTAAAACATCCTCACCGAGGCAAGTGCTTGGGCCCTGCACCCCATGGGAGACCAGGAGAAGCACCTGGCTCCTGCCTTCAGATGAGCGCGATGCACCAGCCGCAGTGCGCCGGCCGCGGTGGCCATTGGAGGGTGAACCAACAGCAAAGGAAGACCTTTCTCTTTGTCTCTCTCTCACTGTCCACTCTGCCTGTCAAAAAAAAAAAATCCTCACAGAAACACCCTAATGTTTGAGCACATACATAGCTGCATGCTGTGGCCTAGCCAAGTAGATGCAAAATTATCCATCACAATGGGCATCTTTTCTATTAGACAAGTCTATTTAAATATATTAGGTAACAGGAAATTGGCTCTCACATCTAAATATATCAAATAATAAACTTGGATTGTTTTAATTGCTGTAAAAAACATTTCTTGGGAAATTAGAATATTTATATTAAATAATGTCTTGCAAAAAGAATTAATGGAAGGCACTAGAGAGAAAACTTATTAAATTATATGGATTTATTAAATACTAGATTAAGTTTATTTAAATAACTTTAGTTTGTAAGATTTCTTAGGAAATTAGGATATTTATATTAAATAATATCTCTTGCAAAAAGAATTAACAGAAGGCATTAGAAAGCAAATAATAATTTCAACCCGATGATAATATCAAATAGATGACGCTATTCGTACTGGGTATTGGAGAATACTGATCATTTCTTCCAACACTGAGTTCTTACCATGAGATGTAGGAAGGGTACAGAAGTAAGCCGTCAGGGCTTACAGGTTAGTAGACCTGTGTAAGTGAATGGGTAGTGGCAGTGGTGGTATTACTAGGACAGGTATCTATCACTTGATTAAGTCTAATGTGCACTCTTCTGAGTCCTTTCATATATCACCACATTCAATCCTCCCATTCCAACACCGCAGTGCCTTGGTATTACACTTAAACCCATTTTGAAGGTGAGGAAACCAAGTCCTTAGATCCAAGTTATTTGTCCGAGATCACAGGTGTTGGTAAATGGTGAAGATATTCAGAATGGTAAAGGTTTAACAGCAGAGAAACAGAATATTATGGAAACTGAGAGGGAAACAAGAAACTGCCTAGGGGCTGATAGATTTCTGTCATCTCTAAGCTGAGGTTGTTTCAGCAGTTTCCCAAGACAGGGAGAATGACATTACAGGTAGAAGAAAACTGTCCAAAAACAAAAAGACACAAAACAACATTTCTAATGCAGGAAACTGAAGACTTCAGAATGAGTTATGTAGGGCTTGTGGACATCAGTAATTGTAAACTGGAATAAGCAACATTAAGTGGAGCTTGAATTTGGGAAATTCCTTTTATAAACAAAAAATAATAAACAACAGAGTACCTGTATCTGAAAGCTGGAAAACAGATAACTAGGAGGAACCTTACATATGTAGCTTCTGCCTTTTCTCCCTTAGAGACGGCATTTAGGTTTTTTGTTTTTGTTTTTGTTTTTGTTTTTGTTTTTTAATGAAAACAAGACACAATGGAAAATGGTTTTAGAAAAAGCATGTTGGCTGGCACCACAGCTCACTTGGCTAATCCTCCACCTGCAGTGCCGGCACCCCGGGTTCTAGTCCTGGTTGGGGTGCCAGATTCTGTCCCGATTGCTCCTCTTTCAGGGAAGGCAGTAGAGGATGGTCCAAGTGCTTGGGCCCTGTACCCACATGGGAGACCAGGAGGAAGCACCTGGCTCCTGCCTTCAGATCTGCGCAGCACGCCGGCCGTGGTGGCCATTTGGGGATTGAACCAACAGAAAAAGGAAGACCTTTCTCTCTCTCTCTCTCTCACTAACTCTGCCTGTCAAAAAAAAAAAAAAAAAGAAAGAAAAAAGAAAAAGAATGTCAGAAAAATAGTCCAGTTTGGCCATTTGGTAGTCCAGATAGGAAGTATAAGTGCAAATTGAGGCAGTGGTAATAGGAGTGTAGAATAGTGGTCAGATTCAAGATATTGTTAAAGTAGCCTGGAGTTGCTGAAGATAACAGGTGGGACTATGATGTTAGTGGATAAGTACTGGTGGTAGCAACAACAAAAATAGGAGTGGTAGCATTTCAGTTTTGAAGAGCAGTTTTATTCAGGTACTTGTGGAATGTCCAAGCATTAGTCTGTCAAACCTTTATTTTTATAAGGAAAATATAAGACTTATTTATAACCTTATTCTAGGCACATTTACTCCATTATCATTACTCAGTGGCGGAGGATG